AGCCATTACAATATTCAAATGCGAAACTTAAATAAATCGGTTATAATGTCGACAAAATCAAAATACCGAATATCGGGAGGTACCGTTATATGGGGGCTATACGAAGACGTGGACCTGCATAGAAAATTTTCTGTCGTAGGCTGTAGTATCTATTACGAACTTCAAATAGCAAATTTGAAACAATTCCGGTAAATAATGTCGCTAAAATCATCAAAATACGAATATCGGGGGGTACCGTTATATGGGGACTATACGAAGACGAGGACCTGCACAGACGATTTTCTTTTTCGTATTCGTTATGAAATTCAAATACCAATTTTGAAAAAAGTTCCGGTAAATAATGCCGCTAAAATCATCAAAATACCGAATATCGGGAGGTACAGTTATATGGGGGCTTTACGAAGACGTGGACCTGCACAGACAATTTTCTGATATAGGCTGCAGTATCCACAACGAACATCAAATACCAAATTTGAAACAATTCCGGTGATTAAATTACGGAATAACGGGAGGTACCTTTATATGGTGGCTTTAGGAAGACGTGGACCTGCACACGAAAATTTTCTGTCTTAGCCTGTAGTATCCATTATGAACTTCACATACCAAATTTGAAACAATTCCGGTGAATAAATACGCTAAAATCATCAAAATACCGAATATTGGTACCGTTATATGGGGGCTATACCAAAACGTGGACCTGCATGGCCCATTTTCAATATCAAAAGTCCTGCAGACAGAACACACATTTGAGCAAAATTTTATCAATGTACTTCAATTCGTTCGGAAGCTAGAGTGATTTCTACAGACGGACAGACGAACGGACATCGCTAAATCGACATAGAATTTTATGCTGATCAAGAGTATATATACTTTGTGGGGTCTAAAATGTATATTTCGAGGTGTTACAAACGGAATGACAAACTTAATATTCCCTCCATACTTTGGTGGAGGGTATAACAAGTCAAATAGTATCAATCGGTTTTGCCGACAGATGTATACTCCCAGCCTTGAGTTATGATTACTCAAACTGTTGATTCTTTATGGTGGGAGGTTCCGAAGCAGTTAGACAATATTGATCAATTTTTATCTGATCTAAGACTTATAGAAATATAACAACGTGACAGATTTAGACTATATCGCCTACTTCCTGTACTTTATATGAGATATGTGCAAATTTTTTGAAAACTAAGGTAAAAGATATAGCAGACCGAAGTGTTCCGTTTTCATACTACATCTAATACAGATAAAAATATTGGAATCGAGCATTGAACATTTAAATCCAAATTTTTGAGGAATCATAAATTCCGATAAATTACATATTCATTTCAGATTTCTGGTTAAGAGAAATATTTAGATACACCAAGTTGTAAAGAATCGCTGAATTGTTTCGCAAGTTATGACAGTTATAAGTATTGGAAATTGTGACCCTTTGTGGTTGAGGTATCAGAAGGGGTTGGTAATTTTATATCATCTTCAGAACCGATTTTGTGTTAGCAAAAATATTTGTATGTGGTAAATTTGAGGAGATGGATTTGAGCGTATCAAAATCTTGAACGCTATGTGGAGGAGGTACCAGAAGAAATGGCACGATCTCTATCATCTTTATTACAGATCTTGTGTCGACGGAAATATTGAAATGGATCAAGTCTGAATCAAATCGGACGTTAATCATGCGTTTTATAAGCTTAATGGATATTCAAAATGTTGACCCTTTGTGGGGGAGGTATCATAAGGAGTGGACCGATAAATCCCATCTTCACACCAGATCTTGGGCAAATAAAAATATTGTAATGTGTGCAATGTGAAGAGAACCGGAAGCTTATATCGGATTTTATGATCGTTTTGGCTACTCAAGATTTTAACCCTTTGTGGTGGAGGTACCAGGAGGAATGGTCCGATCTCTACATCGGACCCTTTGAACCATTCCAGAAGAAATGGTCCTATCTCTACCATCTTCATAACAAATCTTGTGGAGAATAGAATCGGATCTTACTTTCATGTTTTATAAGCTTAATGAATATTCAAAATTTTCACCCTTTGTGGGGGAGGTATCACAAGGAGTGGACCCATATATTCCATATTCGCACCACACCCTTGGTAAATAAAAATATTGTAATGTGAACCGGAGGCTTATATCGGATTCTATGATCGGGGAATACCAAAAAAGTGATCCGATCTCTACCATCTTCATAACAGATCTTGTGGAGATGGAAATATTGGGATGTGCCAAGTCTGAATAGAATCGGATCCTACTTTCGCGTTTTATGAGCTTAATGAATATTCAAAATTGTGACCCTTTGTGGGAAGGTACCACAGGGAGTGGACCGATAAATCCCATCTTCACACCAGACCTTGGGTTAACAAAAATATTGTAATGTGTGCAATGTAAAGAGAACCGGATGCTTATATTGGATTTTATGATCGTTTTGGCTACTCAAGATTTTAACCCTTTGTGGAGGAGGTACCAGAAGGAATGGTCCGATCTCTACCATCTTCATAACAAATCTTGTGGAGATGGAAATATTTATATGTTCCAAATCTGAATAGAATCGGATCTCACTTTCGTGTTTTATGAGCTTAATAAATATTCAAAATTTTGACCCTTAGTGGGGAAGGTACAACAAGGAGTGGACCGATATATTCCATATTCGCACCACACTTTGGGTTAATAAAAATATTGTGACGTATGTTATTTGAAGTGAACCGGATGCTTATATCGGATTTTATGATCGTTTTGTTTATTCAAAATTGTAACCCTTTGTGGGGGAGGTACCAGAAGGAATTGTCCGATCTCTGCCATCTTTGCAACATATCTTGTTTCGATGGAAATATTGAGATATGCCAAGTCTGAATGGAATCGGATGCTGATGTCGCGTTTTATGACCTTCATGAATATTCAAAATGTTGACTCTTTGTGAGGGAGGTACCAGAAGAAATGGACCGACATATTCCATATGCACACCAGACTGTGGATTATTAAAAATATCGTGATATGTGTAAGTTGAAGACAGTCGGACTCTTACATCATATTTTATAAGAGTTATAAATCATTCAAAATTTCGATTCTTTGTGGGGGAGGTACTTAATGGAGTGGACCGATATTGTCCTTTTCCGCACTTGACCTAGCACTGATGCAAGCATTAGGATTTGCAAAGTTGGAGCAAAATCGGATTATCCCTTCTCATTCTGTGTAGTAAAATATTTTCCTTGAAATTTCCACCTTTTGTGGGGGAGGTACCAGAAGTGTGGACCGAATTCGATCTATGTTTGACAATAATATTACGATGTACTAAGTTTGGATCAAATCGAAAACTCCTCCCTTGAGTTATCGTGCGCCCTAACCAGACGGACTGACTGTTCAAATAGACCTAGGGTCTAAAACTGTTATTTCGATGAGGCACGTATTGGAAGAATCAAATTATATATACCCTCTCTAGCCATATGACTAAGGCTATAAAAAGGTCATTGCTATAAAGTGCATGATTTGAGCTGGAGAAGATATTTAAAAATATTTATATATCGCTGTAAAAAGTTCAGTTGAATGTGCAGGTGGATACCTTCACCAGTATAGTCTGGTATTGCATATTTGGTGGACAATAACCGTGAACCAGATAAAGATATATACAGGGTGCGATGGAAAAAACTGCAACCAACTTCAGACTGCTGTCATTTCTAAGACACTCGTCCAACAGCCGTTAAAATTTTTCCAGTGACAGCTAATTATATTGTTCACAAGCGTAAAAAAGCATTTTGATGAGCATTTTCCAGAAAAAAAGTTATTCGTGATGAAATTCAAGCGTGATAGTGTGATTTCTTTATATTTGGCTGGAAAACCACAAGTGGCTATCGTTAAACCACTCTAGCATTTAATTTCGAATAAATCTTTTGTATCCCCAACCATCGCTCGTTACCGTGAAACTGGTAGCTTAGCCCGATGTCAAGGAAGTGGACGGAATAAAATATATATTCGGCAAATATTGAAAAATAAGCTGGGGGTAAAGCAATTGAAATTCCAAAAAGTGCAAGAACTTACACCGCAACAGAGCTAAAGAGTTGCTTCGCTTGGCCAAAATTTGGTGTTCTCCGATGACAAAACATTCGTTGTCCAGAAGTTGGCAAACAAACAAAATGATCGTGTTTAATTGCCAAAGAGCTGAAAATGTGCACCTTCGGTTGGCCACAAGAACTCAAGTGCCGGCCATGGTTATGGTGTGGGCCGCCATTAGAGCCAATGGTCGCTCTCCGCTCGCATTAATCGACCGTGGCATCAGAATAAGTGCCGAATATTATCGCGAAAATGTTCTGGAGGGTATATTAAAGCCTTGGACATGCTAACATTTTGGCCGCAGACCTTGGACATTCTAAAAGGACTCAGCACGCGCCACCCAAGAATGGTTACAAAATGAAGTTCCTCGCTTTATTTCCAGCGCACAATGGCCACCAAAATCTCCAGATACTAATCCGTGGGACAATTGCATGCAAGGTTGGCACTAAAAATAACAAAGTGTCGATCACCTCAAGCAAGCGATTCACCGGGATTGGCCCAAATGCCGCAGAGCAACATTCGGCCAGCGTGTGACGGTTTCATTGGCCGTTTGAAGGCCATAATTCGTGGTAAAGGTGACCAAATCGAACAAATCTAAACTTTTTCTAAAATTTGATGCTATTTCCGATATTTTTTGCTTTCATTAAATAAAATTAAAAAAAAATGTAAACATTATGGCATTTGACTTTGTTGCAGTGTTTTTTTTTTTATCTCACCCTGCATGTATGGGCAATACTTAATATCAAAGAGACACATAAATATTAAATATGTCCATTTGTATACATTTAACAATTAAAATAAATCCTCCTATATTTGTCATTACACACAAATGTATAAACGAATTGTGAAGATTAAATGCACAGCCATCTGCCAATGCAAATGGACCGACTGACTGACAGGCTGACTGCTGCATGAGCAAATAAATCCATTTCTGCCATTTTACCATTTTTAATATCAACAAATTCCGATTTATTGGCAAATATTAAACATTTTAGTGGCAGGTTTAGTTTATTTATTTTATCCAGTACAACTTTTGTTTCATTTATTTATAACAATCGAGATTAGAAATATCCATATGGAGAGTACATTGTTCGGATACGAGTGAATATGGACGGCCAATGAAAATTCCACATTCTTATTGGAGTTCAGATGAATGCCGGTCGATTTAATCCGTTCGGATATTTGATTTAAATTCGTATATGAATAGTTAAGGGTAAAGCCGAAAATCTGCAGAGAAAAAGAGGATGAGGGAAATGAATGAAATAAAATTCAATAAAAGTCGATAAAATGTTTATATCAATAGAAATGTATTTATTTAACAAACATCAAAATCAAAAAAAAATGGATTACTTTAAAAACTAAATAATAAAAAAAATAATAAACTAAAATTAGTTATTTATGTCGAAAAATAATCACAAATATGTCTACGTCATTTTTTTTTTATTTATTATTTTATTTATTTATTTATTTTTTAATAGTGGAAATGAACAAAATCTAATCGAAATTTAACAATTATGCAAATGCCATAGCCGTGCGGGGCCGACCATGTGATATCCACAACACTCTAATATATTTGAAAATCCCTTAGGTCCACACCCATTTTAGTAGATTTTTTTCAGCCCACCATAAAGTTTATGTTTGGCTTTGGACCGGGATCATTTTCCCTATATTTACGTTCTCTTTTGTGCTAATAGGTATTCAAAACAATTTTATACAAAAGTTTTGGTCCATTTTGGCCGCCAAATATAATCTAATGATCGTCCACAATGCTAGACTTATAGCCTCTCCGATACCTTAACCTCATGGCAAATTCCGTGTCAATTAATTATTAATTGTGACCTTTAAAGCAACTGCAAAATCAGGAAAAAATTATTTTTTGGCCCATTTGAACCCTTAGCCCTACCCCATGCAAAATTTCGTAAAGATCGTAATATAATTGCGATCTGAATATAATATCTAACCAAATGTAGACGACCTGATTAACTAAAGCCGAAAATACCCACAGTGAGCTGTCAAACCCGAACGATTTCCGATCCACTTACAAAGACCTTGACATTGGTTGCCGATGCCAAGTTCCCGATTGCCTTCAAATTATCAACATTCCCGAACGCAAGCGTCACCCAGAACCCACCCACAAACATTGTAATTCCCGATCTTCCTCACTTTTCAACATCAGACGGTCACCCACGAATCGTCGGCTAATAAGACTCTACATCAACCGAGTACCAATCGTGAACAACCCGACAGTTCAACAATGTGGATTTTAAACAAATTTAAATGCTTCCCGACGAAGAATCCGTCATTTACATGAAAACATTTCTTCAATATCCACGATTTATGGATATTTTAGAAATGTTTTCACAGGCCATCCATATAAATGGCGGATACTTTAAGGGCCCTTATAACAGTACCGCCAGAGTTATATCTCATAGGATATACATATATCAACTGATACGTGATAAATCAACTGATGTGTCTCATCAAAATAAGGTTTTGGAGTTGATCTAGCGATGTCCGCTATATGGTCCAAATTTAATATAGAATAATGTTACTGTCAAACTTAGATCAAGCTCGGCGATGGACACTATGAGTCTTGTCCTTCTAGTACCTACTCTACTAGAGTTCAATATTTTCTAATTAAAAGTTCTGGTACCTACACTACAAATTCTAATAGATTCTAATAGATCGAGCAGTAAGTTCCGGGCCGGGCCGAACTTCGAATACCCTCCACCATTTGGAACGAATTAGGAAATTAAAAAAAAAATGAAATCCATTAAAAATTCTGTTAAAATCTTAAAAATACCGAATATCGTAAGGTGCCGATGTATTGGGGTGATATACAATATTGTGGACCTATACAGACAAATCTACGTCTGGAGGTAAAGTACTTACAATGAACTTCTTGTGTGGAATTTCAGACAATTCCATTGAGAAATGTGGTTAAAATACCGGATATCGGGGGTACCGTTATATGGGGGCTATACGATATGGGGGGCCACTATAGACAATTATCTTGCATGGGGTAAAATACCCACGAGGAACTCGTTGTGTGGAATTTCAGACAATTCCATTTAAATATGTGGCTAGAATCATTAAAATGCCGAATATCGGGGGGTACCGTTATATTGGGGCTATATACAGACAAATCTACGTCTGGGGCTAAAATACCCACAAGGAACTCCTTGTGTGGAATTTTAGAAAATTCCGTTGAAAAATGTGGGTAAAATCATCAAAATACCGAATGTTGGGGTGTACCGGGGGCTATACGATATCATGGATCTATTTAGACAATTCTCATTCAGGGGGTAAAGTGCTCACAAGGAACTCCTTGTGTAGAATTTGAGACAATTCTACCGAATATCGAGGGGTACCGTTATATGGGAGCTATACGATATCGTGGACCGATACAGTTCATCTTCGAACTTGACCTGCCTGCAGACAAAAGACAGATCTGTGCAAAATTTTAGCTTCCTATCTTTATTCGTTTTGACTGTAGCGTGATTACAACAGACGGACGGACAGGGCTAAATCGTCTTAGATCACGAATATATATACTTTGCTGGGTCTAAAATTATTATTTCGATGAGTTACAAACGGAATGACGAACTTAATATACCCTCCATACTATGTATGGTGGAGGGTATAAAAAAAAGTAAAAAAGGGCACCTTAGTTCGGCAGGGCATATGCAATTTTTGTCATAGCCTATTGTACCCACTACGACCTTCAAATACATCATTTAAAACAATTCCGTTGAATGATGTCGCTAATATCATCAAAATACCGAAAAAAAGAGAGGCGCCGTTTTATGTGTGGTATACGAAGACGTGGACCTGCATTGACAATTATCTGTCATAAATTGAAGTATCCATTGTGAACTTCAAATACCAACTTTAAAACAGTTCCGGAACCTACATACGCAACTTTATTTCATAGGCTGTAGTACCCATTAAGATTTTCAAACACGAAATTTGAAACAATTCTGGTAAATAATGTCGCTAAAATCATAAAAATACCGAATATTGGAATTTATCGCTATGTGGTGACTATACCATAAAGTGGACCTGCATACGCAATTTTTTGTCATAGGCTGTAGTACATACTACGAACTTTAAATACGAAATTTGAAATAATTCGGATTCATAATGTATCTAATATTATAAAAATGCCCAATAATTGGAGGTACCGGTACATTAGAGCTATACGAAGACGTGGACCTGCATAAGTAATGTTTGTCATAGGTTGCAGTACCCATTAAGAAGTTCCAATACGAAATATGAAACAATTCCGGTCTATAGTGCCGACAAAATCATCAAAATACGGAATTTATATGGAATTTATATTTACGAACAGAAAACACATGTGTGCAAAATTGTAGCCTTCTATCTCATCAAAAAGATGACGTGATTTCAATATACAGACGCACAGGGCTAAATTAAATTATAATTTTACGCTGATAGAAAATATATATTTATACTTTGTTGAGTCTGGCATGAGTATTTCGAGGAGTTACAAACGGAATATACACTCCTTAGTATGGTGGAGGGTATAAAATATCAAAAATTTGATTTTTAGAAATTTAATCGCATAAAATTGAAAATAAGAGTCCGATTCACTTTGAACATTCCCATATTTTTATCAGTATTTGATAATGTGTTAAAATGGAATGCATCGGTTTACTCTTATAGAAGCCTTCGCCACAGATTTAGGGCAAATGCGAAGTGGAAATTATTAGTCCACTCCTTCTGCACCTCCTCCATAACGAAAGCCAAAATAAAGTTAAATAAACGGCATAGTTGGAATACAAAGTATTCTTTTTATACCCTCCACCAAAAAAGGTATGGAGGGTATATTAAGTTCGTCATTCCGTTTGTAACTCATCGAAATAATCATTTTAGACCCAACAAAGTATATATATTCTTGATCAGCGTAAAATTCTAAGAATTTTAAAATTCCATGTCCGTCCGTCTGTCCGTCTGTTGTAATCACGCTACAGTCTAAACGAATTAAGATAGGAAGCTAAAATTTTGCACAGATCTCTCTTTTGTCTGCAGGCAGGTCAAATTCGAAGATGGGCTATATCGGTCCACGATATCGTATAACCCCCATACAACGGTAGCCCCGATATTCGGTATTTTGATGATGTTAGCCACATTTTTCAATGGAATTGTCTGAAAATCCACACAAGTAGTTCCTTGTGGGTACTTTATACCTCGGCAGAGAATTATCTATATAGGTCCACAATATCGTATAGCCTCCATATAACGGTACTCCCCGGTATTCGGCATTTTGATGATTTTAGCCACATTTTTCAATGGAATCGTCTTAAAATTCACATAAGTAGTTCCATGCGAGTAATTTACCCCCTGAGAGAAAATTTTCTATACAGGTCCACGATATCGTACATCCCCCATATAACGGTACCCCCCGATATTCGGTATTTTGATGATTTTACCCACATTTTTCAACGGAATTGTCTGAAAATCCACACAAGGAGTTCCTTGTGGGTACTTTATACCTCGGCAGAGAATCATCTATACAGGTCCACGATATCGTATAGCCCCCATGTAACGGTACCCCCACGGTATTCGGTATTTTGATGATTTTAGCCACTTTTTCCAATGGAATTATCTGAAAATCCATACAAGGAGTCCCTTGTGGGCATTTTACCTCCTCAAAAAGAATTGTCTACATAGGTCCACGATATCGTATATCCCCCATACAACGGTACCCCCCGATATTCCGTATTTTGATGATTTTACCCACATTTTTCAACGGAATTGTCTAAAAATCCACACAAGGAGTTCCTTGTGGGTACTTTATACCTCGGCAGAGAATCATCTATATAGGTCCACAATATCGTGTAGCCCCCATATAACGGTACTCCCCTATATTCGGTATTTTGATGATTTTAGCCACTTTTTCCAATGGAATTATCTGAAAATCCATACAAGGAGTTCCTTGTGAGTACTTTACACGCAGCCATAGATTTGTCTTTATAGGTCCACAATATCGTATATCCCCCCATATATCGGCACCTTCCTATATTAGATATTTTAAAGATTTTAAAAGAATTTTTATTGGATTTAATTTGTTTGAAAATTTTCTAATTCGTTCCAAATGGTGGAGGGTATTCAAAGTTCGGCCCGGCCGAACTTACTGCTTTTTTACTTGTTAATATTTTCCTTAATATGCAATGTAATTCCATACATTTTTGACCAATACTTGAATTAAGCTGAGTATAAATATCTGAGTGTAAACTTGCCGATATTTTCTTAATTATACATTTAAACACACCTTATAATTGGGAAATTCGGCAGCCAACATATTATTGTATTTTAATTCCTCATAGGAAGAACCGCTTCCAAAAGTCGCACTCTGTTCCATAGCTTGCAGAATACTTAACAAACGGGGCTGGAAAGCTCTAAAAAAAACGATAAAAAATTAATTACAATATCACACATATCCAGCCCAAATACCAACCTATTCCACACCGTCTTACGCATGGTGCGCCAGCTACTTATCTTTTTCATTATTTTCCTTTCAATATTATATTTCAATTCACCAATACTAGATGAGAGCCGATATTTATATCCCTCGGCATGGAAACCTCCCTGGGGAGCTGGTGTTCGTTTGTTGAAACCCGCTAGCCAACAAGAGGAATCGGAAAAATTGAAATTCATCATGGAAACACGATGCTCGGATTGTATGTTGAGATAAAACTGAAGAAAATATTTTTTTCAGGTAAATTAAAGTTTTCAGGTCAGAAAAGTTAAATAGTGACAAATAAAATAGCAGAATTAACATGACTTACGTTGTTTCCGCCTATGACCATTTTCACTTGATACAACGGACAAAACACATCCTTTACCGAATAACGTTTGCCGCTACAGGGATCTATGAATTGCATTTCCTCGTCGGAAATGAATAAAACAAAAGCACACTGGCCATATGGATAGGCTAGGCCGAGAACCAACCAACACTGCAGACCCAAATGCAGAAGGTAACTGCAAAGCAAAACTCCCAAATCTTTCGAAGAACCCCAGGTGGTGTCCAAAAGAAGCTGGAAATAGAAGAAATACTAATAAATAATTAAAGAAATAGTTGGATATATAGGTAGAGCGATAGACAAATACACACAAACCCTGGCATCAACTAAAATCAGGGAGAACATTTACTTCGGCGTCACAGTGGCCGAAAAATGGCCCGTGAGCTGAACATATCTCAATATTCCATTAGGCCAATATTGAAAAATGAGCTCGGGGTAAAGCCATTGATATTCCAAAAAGTGCAAGAACTTACACCGCAACAGAAAGAAAATAGACTCAAAAGAGCTAAAGAGTTGCTTCGCTTGGTCGAAAGTGTTGAACTGCCGAATTTGGTTTTCCCCGATGAGAAAACATTCGTTGTCCAGCAGTTTGTAAACAAACAAAATGATCGTGTTTACTTGCCCGAAAATGTGCACCTTCGGTTGGCCACCAGAACTCAAGCGCCGGCCATAGTGATGGTGTGGGCCGCCATGACAGCCGATGTTCGCTCTCCGCTCGTATTAATCGGCCGTGGCATAAGAATAAATGTCGAATATTATCGCGAAAATTTTCTGGAGGGTGTATTGAAGCCTTGGTCACGCAAATATTTTGACCGCAGACCTTGGATATTCCAACAGGACTCAGCACGTGCCACCCAAGAATAGTTACAAAACAAGTAAAAAAATATTAAGTTCGGCCGGGCCAAACTTTTAATACCCTCCACCTTAGGGTAAAGGAAACATTAGAAGAAATGTGGCAAAAACCATTAAAATGCCGAATATCGGGAGGTACCGTTATATGGGGGCTATACCAAATCGTGGACCTACACATGCAATGTTTTTGCCAAAGAAGCTAGAACCCATTAGGACCTACAAATACCAATTTTCAGACAAATCCGTGAAAAAATGTTGCAAAAATCATTAAATTACCGAACATCGGGAGGTACCGTTATATGTGGGCTATACCAAAACGTGGACCTATAATTACAATGACTCGCCACACGAACTGGGACCCATCATGACCCACAAATACCAATTTTTAGACAAATCAGTGAAAAAATGTGACAAAAACCATCAAAATACGGAATATCGGGAGGTACCGTTATATGGGGGCTATACCAAATCATGGACCCATACATGCAATGTTTCGCCACCGGAGCTGGAACCCATTATGACCTACGAATACCAATTTCAGACAAATCCGTGAAAAAATGTGGCATAAATCATCAAAATACCGAATATCGGGAGGTACCGTTATATGGGGACTATATCAGAACGTGGACCGATATATCTCATTTTCGATACCAACCATCCTAGACACAATACAAATTGCTCTGCTAAATTTTGGCGCTCTACGTCAAATAATGTGGGCTGTATCGTGATTTCAACAGACAGACAGACGACTTAGAAGTTTATGCTGAATATGAATATTTATACTTTATGGGGTCTACGACGAATATTTAAGGATGTTACAAACGGAATGACAAATTCAAGGTGGAGGGTATAATGAAAAGCAAAGTTGCACTAAAAATAAGTGTCGATCACCTCAAGCAAGCTCTTCGCCAGGAATGGGCCAAAATACCGCAGAGCAACATTTGGGCAGAGTGTGACGGTTTCATTGGCGGTTTGAAGGTCATAATTCGTGCCAAAGGTGAAAAATTCGAACAAATCTCCACTTATTCTAAAATTTGATGATATTACCAACATTTTTTGCTTTCATTCAACAAAATTTAAAAACAGATGTAAATAATATTTCGTTTTACTTTTGTGCCTCTGTTAGTAGTCTTCCGACACAAAAGACAGAGCACATCACAAACTCTACATTCCGAATTTTAAAGGATTCCCCTGAATTACGTGGCTAAAATAATCAGAATGCCGAATTTTAAAAAACTCCGTTAGAAAATTATTCTCTAATCATCAGAAAACCGATTATAAGATGGGAATTATGGGAGTAATTGGAAAACGTGAACCTATATTGGCAATATTTTGCCATAGAAAGTGGGGCCCATTGCAATATCTTAGTACGGAATTTGAAACAATTCCGTTTGAAAATGTGGCTTAAATACCGAATATCAGAAGGTACTGTTATGTGGAGGTTATAATAAAATGTGGACCTATAGACACCCTTTACAAACTCTTAGTACCAAATTTTAAAGAATTACATTAGAAAATGTGATCTTAATCGTAAAAATACGGGAGGGATGGTTTTATGAGGGCTAAACGAAAACGTCGACCAACATAGCCTACTCACGAACATAATCTGCCTACTGAGAAAATACACATGTGTGGAAAATTTTAGCCTTCAATTAGTTCGAAAGATAGTTGTGTTGCAACAGACAAACGAACATCGCAAAATCGAATTTGAATACTACTCTGATGGAGATCATATATATGCTTTGTTGGGTCTGGCATGAGTATTTCAAGGAGGAACAAACGGAATGGCAAAGTAATATAAATGTAATCCGGTATCTATGTCTATTATAATTATTCCTAATAAAATTCACACTTCATTCTCACCTCATTATTCATCCAAACACCTGAAAAACTCATGCAGGGATCAAACGACTTTGGAGTCGAGAGTAACGAAACAAAACGACAGGCACTGTCCAACAAATTCTCACTAGCATCGATGGGCGGTGGAATGGCTTGTAGCAATCTTGTAATGCATATCCGTTTTCCCTCAGCGCTGCAGACCATAGGTTCTAGAAATTTATCCGGTTTCATTTCCCATGCCTCCATACTCCAATTACTAAGACACTGGCGTATTTCCATCAATTCTGAACATTCCAAACATTTTGTATTGATACTGGGCAGTTCCAGCGCTGGTTCTACACTTATGTAACACCATAAACGTATGGATTCTTTGATTTCTGGAAATTGTTCAATCATTATATTTGTCTCCGCACTGGAGGTTATGTTGTCCAGCGATGGACGTTTGTAACCAATTACAATTTTCGGATTATTTAATTCAAAGACGCCATCAATCTGTAATATGAAAAAACCCATGTATATAATTTTTTGTTATTTTATTATTGCTGAGCATTTTTTACCTTCTGTTGCGACAATATGGCACTGATTGGTATTCGATATTCACCCAACCAATTATTTTGTATCCTTTGAAAAATATCCGTATTTTTTAACGAAGAATCGTCGTTCCATTGATTTTCAACTACCTCATCGAAAAGGCAAATTTTCAAGTCATCACGTAGCTCCGACAAGGAACCGCTGAAATTTGAAAAGTGGTTGAGTCAGGTAATTGTGAAAGTAAAACAAGTAAAAAAGCTGTAAGTTCGGCCGGGCCGAACTTCAAATACCCTCCACCATTTGGTACAAATTTGGTAATTTCCAAAAACAAAAAAAAAAATCCGTTAAAAACTCTGTTAAAATCTTAAAAATACCAAATGCTTATACGACGACGTGGCCCTGCATAGGCAACTTTTGTCATAAGTTATTACAATATTTAAATGCGAAACTTGAAGAAAATCTGTTTATAATGTCGCTAAAATCATCAAAATACCGAATATGGGGGGTACCGTTATATGTGGGCTATATGATAACTTGGACCTACACTTAACCTGCCTACTGGCAAAATATACATGTGTGCAACATTTTAGCCTTCTATCTCAATTCGTTCGAAAGATAGCGTGATTACGACAGACAGGCGGACATCGCTAGATCGTCTAGGATTTTACGCTGATGAAGAATATACACAGGGTTGCCCATATTCGACGGACCCATCTAGCAACGCCATAACTTTTGACAGAGATGCCACATCGCTTAACGACATACCGCGTTTGAAGCGTCAGTTCAAGCAGATTTTTTCCATGAACCAATACACGCCGCGCGAGCGCTCTGAAAAAGTTGAAATTTACATTCAACAGAAGAAGTCAATTGTGAAAAAAAAAATGTGAGAAGTGCGCCTTCTAAGAACACCATTAAGCGTTTATACGAAAAATTTTCAACTAGTAAGGCTCTTTCTAATCCGAAGAGGCCATATAAAAGTCGACCAAGGCGATCGGCAGAGAATATCGCTGCCGTACGAGCCAGTGTTGAGAGGTCCCCAAGAACATCCCAAAAACGCCGTTCACAGCAGTTGGGCATGGCTCGGTCCACTTTACAACGGATTATTCGCATTGATTCGCATTTGTTCCCGTACAAAATTCAATTGACGCAGTGAATGTTGCCTGCGGACAAGCCTCGTCGATTGGAATGGGCCCAACGGGCCCAAGGGTCCGTCGAATATGGGCAACCCTGTATACTTTGTTGGTTCTGACATGAGTATTTCGAGGAGTTACAAACGGAATGAAAAAATTAATATACCCTCCATAGTATGGTGGAGGGTACAAAAAGATTCAATATCATAAGCTCCGCATTAAACTATTTTCGAACATACAGGGTGAGATAAAAAATAACTGCAACAAAATCAAACGCCATTTTTTTTATTTTTATTGAATCGGTTACCTTGGCCAATGAAACCGTCACACGCTGCCAGAATGTTGCTTTACGGTATTTTGGCCCATTCCCGGCGAAGCGCTTGCTTGAGGTGATCGACACTTTGGTATTTTTTTAGTGCCAAACTAGTTTTCCAAAATACTCCAGACACAATAGTCCAAAGGATTGGTATCCGGATATTTTGATGGCCATTGTTCGCTAGAAATGAAGCGAGGAACTTCATTTTGTAACCATTCTTGGGTGGCGCGTGCTAAATGCAATGATGCTTAGTCCTGTTGGAATATCCAAGGTCTGCGGGCAAAATGTTTGTGTGCCCAGGGCTTTAATACACCCTCCAGAATATTTTCGCGATAATATTCGGCATTTATTCTGATGCCACGATCGATGATAACGAGCAAAGAGCGACCATCGGCTGTTGTGGAGGCTCACACCATCACTATGGCCGGCGCTTGAGTTCTGGTGGCCAACCGAAGGTGCACATTTTCAGCTGACCTCTTTGGCAAGTAAACACGATCATTTTGTTTGTTTACAAACTGCTGGACAACGAATGTTTTCTCATCGGAGAAACCCAACTTCGGCAGTTCACCACTTTCGGCCAAGTGAAGAAACTTTTTTAGCTCTTTTGAGTCTATTGTTGTTTCTGTTGCGGTGTAAGTTCTTGCACCTTTTGGAATTTCAATGGCTTTACCCCGAGCCCATTTTTCAATATTTGCCGAATGGAATATTGCGATATATTCAGCGCAAGAAAAATTTTTTCGGCAACTGCGATGCGGGTTGTGATGTTGTTTTTTTTCGTCCACTTCCTGGACGTCTGGCTACGCTATAAATATCACGGTAATGAGCGATGGTACGAGACACAAAAGATTTATTCACATTTAAATGCTGGAGTGCTCTAACGATAGCCACTTGTGGTTTTCCAGACAAATATAAAGATATCACACTAACGCGCTTGAATTCCATCACGAATAACTTTTTTTCTGGAAAATTCTCACCAAAATGTTTTGGTATATTTCTAAACAATATAATGAGCTGTCACTGGAATAATTTTAATAGCTGTCGGAGTGGCTTAGAAATGACAGCATTCTGAAGTTAGTTGCAGTTTTTTCATCTCACCCTGTATATCTGTCGGCAAAACTGACTGATACATTTTGAATAGTTTTCTTGTTCTTTATGTCATATTTTCTATGATTCAAGACTTCAAATTGATAATTGACATATGCAGTTCCGGTATTCTTACCTTATTTGTATCACCAATTGTTCATTCCATGTTGGATTTGACCCCTCAGCAGTCATGGTACGACTAAATTTATCCTTATAATTTACAGTTACAAATGGTCTTACATTTGAGTATTTCAAATCTAAAAAAATTAAGAATATAATATTAAAATTGTTTCAGATATTTTAAAAATTTCGCTTACTCTGCAAAACAAAAACATTTGAGGATACAGGACTGCCACCGTGCCCTCTACTGTCGGTATCTTCGGGATTTGTGATTCTCACCGGTATGCCCGTTGCTCGAATTATATTGCAAACTATTTTGAATTTTTGCACATGATCCATTGATAACGAATGTTGACCTCCAGGGGATGAAGAGGTCAACATATTGCCGGCGGGATTTAAAATCAGACGAGGTTGAAATATTAAACGTAGGGTTTGAAAGAAGGCACTAAAAAAATTAATATCATTGAATATAATCCACGCTCATAAATGATTTTCGTTCCTTGTTAATTACCTCCAACTCATTGGCTCATCGTTCAGCAGTAAATTCTCCTGGCTCGCCACAACCTTTGTCAAACGCACACATTGATTGTGTATGGCCTCGTAAAGTTGTTTCAAATATTTTTTACCCTCATGTTTGTGCAAATCAATGGGATCCATCCAATTGCCGGGATCCAGGACACGTTCCTCCGATTCCCATTCAAATTCCAATTCATGTTCCAACATTGGTATAAATCGCAAATCTCTGGTACGTGAGTCGTTTTTCGTATAACGTGAACGTAATAGACGTATGCGGGGATTATTGTCGATTTCGGCAACATCACAAAAGCGCAGTAGATCTTCCTGGAAGGTGCAAGTTTTTAATTTTTCACGATTATCCTCCTCTTCACTATCACTGCTTCCGGACCGTGCTTCTTCTAATTTATCAGTACTTTCTGGTAAGGCCATTAGATTATGTTCATACCAATCTTTGAGCATGGTTCGCGGAATATGGGTATGCTGTCCAGGAGCTGGAAATAATCTCTCTACAATTTCTTGGGGATATATCTGTTCGTCGCTCTGCAAGTTCAAACGTAAATAGCCGGATATGGATTGCTTGTGTGAGGAGAAGGTAATTGTCATGTGTGGCGCATCATCTCCCCCGTCTGCTGATGGTAACGGCAATGGCACAATAATATTGGCTATTTTCTGGGATCCGGTTAATTTCTGTTTCTGGTAAAGCTAAAAATTTAAATTCCAAAACAGTTTATTAATTTAGAACAGCGTTGGCTTGTTTCTTCGGGACACCATAGTATTTTGTTGTTGCAAAATGGCCAGGCTTAATCCCTTTATTGTTGATTTTATAAAAACAACGTTTGTTTATAAGTGGAGAACGATGGTAATGTTTACCAGGGGGTAAGGCAGGAAATTTAAATAATCTAATAGAGATAGAACAAAATTAGGGCCTACACCACACTTTTGTCAAGGTATTATGTCTTTGTCCATTTGTTTGTAACATAGGAAGCCATATAGAAAAATAGTTCCTTTTGATGATCTGAATAGAAACATATTCTGAATCGATTTATGCATGTCCGTCCGTCTGTCTATGTATTTTTGTAGACAAAATATAGGTTCCATTTATTGCCCGAATAAATTTTTTCTCAAATCTTTTGGTTGGCTCAAGGACGAACCCTATTGAAATTGGAATTAATCGGTAAAAATTTAGATAAAGCTCCCATATATCATCGTCCAATTTGTCTTTTATTGTTCCCCAAATGTGTAATATTAGTACAAATCGGATGAAATTTGGAACATGCGACCAAATTGGGACTAGAAACAAAAATGTCAAATTTGGTGGTCGGTTCAGACATAGCTATAGATCTCATATATGTATATTGTTCATCCGATTTGTTATTTTTGAAATATCTTTGCCAAAGTTTATCGAGATCGGTTCAAATTTAGATATAGCCCCCAAATATGCTTTTATCCGATTTCAGGTTTATTCTGCACTAAATGGCTAATATCAGCTTAAATTGAGGAATTTTGGACGACCGAATTGAGAAAGTAGTTCAAATTTGGCGAAAATTGGTTTCGATTTATCATCCGATTTGGTGCCCCTAATTTCCTAATAGATCTCAAAATACCACTGCAAAATGTATCGAAATTGGCAAGCCAGCAATGTTCGACGGCGCGGTCGACGAAGGGGTTTTTGTTGTAACAGACAAAACCAACTTACATGGTTATGTTACTTCGTTCAGGTAGAACGAAAGCATAACAAGTGGAGATAGATGTAAATGTTTATAATTGCGGTTGTAAGATTTAGAAGATTTTCCAAAAGAATCTTAATTTTATTTAATTCTTTGGTTCCTCTTCTATTGAGCTAACAATCTCGTCACTTGGGTACAAAAAAAGGTTTTTTTGACATAGATTTTTTTTAAAATAATTTCTAGGGAGAATATCCCAGACAAAAAACAAGGAAACTGATGAGGATTAGTGGCCCTGGTAAACATTACCATCGTTCTCCACTTATAAACAAATGTTGTTTTTATAAAAAAACAACAATAAAGGAGTTTTCATATATATCCTCATCCGACGAGCTGTTGGGTGGATTTTTCCATTTGGTGAATTTCGGCTCCTATAAATATGTTGTATATATTCCTACTCGAAGAGATAGCATGTACTCTATAGCAATGTTTTCATACCCTCCACCAAAGTAGGAAGGGTGTATTAACACAAAGTATATATTTTCTTGGCCAATATAAAATTCTATGTCGATTAACGATGTCCGTCCGTCTGTGGAAATTGCTTTAGCTTCCGAACGATATGTAGTAGGCTGATAAAATTTTACTCAAATATATATCATGTCTGCAGGACTTTTGGTATTGAAAATGGGCCACGTAGGTCCACGTTTTGGTATAGTCCCCATATAACGGTACCTCCGATAATTCGGTATTTTGATGATTTTAGCGACATTATTCACCGGAATTATTTTAAATTCGGTATTTGAAGTTCGTAAAGGATACTACAGCCTATAATAGTCTGTGCAGCTTCACGTTTTATAACCCCCATGGTACCTCCCTATATTCGGTATTTTGATGATTTTAGCTACATTTTAAACAGATTTTTTTTAAAGTTTCACATTTGAATATTGTAATAGCTTATGACAAATATTGCCTATGCAGGTCCACGTCTTCGTATAGGGAGGTATGAATGGAAGAGGGTTGAAAAAATCCATATCCACATCAGATCGCGAGTTTAGTCAAACATTGAGATACTTAGTTCAAAGTAAATCGCTGACTGATTTTGCATATTATAAGGGATGTACTTGATGGAGTGGTTCGATATATTTCGATTCAGACTAAACCTTGTGTTGATATAAACATTGGGTTGTCCCTAGTTTGAATGACTTCTGAAGTTAATTTCGCGTTTATGAGCTTCTTCTTTATTCAAAATTTCGACTCCATTGTATAGTAAAACGAAATGGGCCGATATACACCCCATCTTCATATCAGATATTGTTTTGATAGAAATATTGTTATGTGCTGTACTATTTTAAAAAAAAAAACATGCTTATAGGTCTGATAAAACTCTTGACACATATTCTGCTCCTCAAAAACTAGAAAATTATGCTTTAAAATATAATCTTATTATTTTTATACAATGTCCTCTAAAATCCTGAAATATGTTGTTTAAAATCCACTCTCATAGTTCTGCTTACATCCACAAAAATGTAATTAAATATTTACATTCGTCAACCTATTAACGAGCCTTCATAATGTTGTAAAAAGTCCAATCCAATCTGACCTTAATTTTGAAAAATTCAGCTTGTATTTGTGCCTTATAAAATATTCTTCCAAATATTATAAAAAACTCTCACTTGTTTTCTCCAAAAGTCCTTAAAAATTATTCTTAAAAATCATGGCCTGCAGTTTTTTTTCAAAAGTTATCAATGTTTTTCTTATAAGTCAGCTATATTTTCTCTTTCAATCGTTCTTAAAATATCCTTTAAAAATCATCGAAAAAAAAATCTTTAAAATTCAACCAATATTTATATACTCCCTAAAAAAAAATAAAAAAAAAAAAACTAGTAAAAAAGTAAGTTTGGCCGGGCCGAACTTTGAATACCCTTCACCATTTGGAATGAATTAGGACATTTTCAAAAAATAAAATTCATTAAAAATTCTGTTAAAATCTCGGAAGGTGCCGATATATGGGGGGATAAACGATATTGTGGACCTATATAGACAAATATATGTCTAGGATAAAGTACTCACAAAGAACTCCTTGTATAGAATTTCAGTCAATTTCGTTGAAAAATGTGGCTAAAATCATTAAAATACCGAATATAGGGGTGTACTGTTATATGTGGACTATATGATATCGTGGACCTATATAGATAATTCTCTTTCAAAGAGTACTCACAAGGAACTCGTTGTACGGATTTTCAGACCATTCCATTGGAAAGTGTGGCTAAAATGATCAAAATCCCGAATATCGGGGGATACCGTTATATGAGGTTTATACGGTATTTTGGACCTATATAGACAAGTTCCTTTCAGGGGGTAAAGTGCTCACAAGGAACCCTTTGTGTAGAATTTTAGACAATTCCGTCGAAAAATGCGAATAAAATCATCGAAATACCGAATATCGGGAGGTACCGTTATATGGGTGGTATACGATATCGTGGACTTATATAGACAATTCTATTTCAGGGGGTAAAGTGTCCACAAAGAACACCTCATGTGGATTTTCAGACTATTCTATTAGAAAATGTGGCTAAAATCATCAAAATACAGAACATCGGGGGGTACCGTTATATGGGGGCTATACGATATCGTGAACCTATATAGATAATTCTCAGCCAAGGGATAAAGTACTCACAAAGAACTCCTTGTGTAGAATTTCAGACAATTACATTGAAAAATGTGGCTAAAATCATAAAAATACCGAATATCGTGGGGTACCGTTATATGGGGGATATGCGATATCGTAGACCTTTATAGACAATTCTCTGCCAAGAGATAAAGTGCTCTTAGAGAACTGCTTGTATGGATTTTTATACAATTCCATTGAAAAATGTGGCTAAAATCATCAAAATACCGGATATCGGGGCTACCGTTATATGGGGGCTATACGATATCGTAGACCGATATAGCCTATATTCGAACTTCACCTGCCTGCAGACAAAAGAGAGATCTGTGCAAAATTTTAGTTTTGTATCTTAATTCGTTTAGCCTGTAGCGTGATTACAACAGACGGATAGAGCGAGATCGTCTTAGAATTTTACGCTGATCAAGAATATATATACTTTGTTGGGTATAAAATGATTATTTCGATGAGTTACAAACTGTGTATGGTAGAGGGTATAAAAACTCCATTAAAAATATAATTTAAATCCACACATGTCCCTCTACTAACATTTTTCTACAAAAACTCCTATATTATGCCTAAGAAAATTGAAAAAGAAAAAAATTAAAATGTCTTTTTCTATTAAATGATTCCTACACTTCCCTTGAAACATTCCTTACAACCACCAGTCCTCATAAAATATATATGAAAAATCTCCAAATAATATTCAAAAACTGACACAATATTATTTAAAATTTTTCAAAAGATATTTTAAAAGTTCCGCACAGCACATTTAAAGCTGTAATATTTTTCTCAATAAAGTTTTTCAAAGATCATCCAAAAAGTATGTTTTTTTGTCTACGATGCTATTATAATCCGTTCAAAAATATCCTCACAAAACATGAAGAAATATATCTTTTATTTTTTGAATATTCCTCTTCTCGAATTCAATGACTTACCTTTATTTTTATATCCTTGGGCAAACGACGATTCAAAACAATTCCCAATTTCTCATTTACCGCATAGCTCAAATCTCTTTCCAATCTGTAGGTGCGGGTTTCTCCGACCATTTGCCCATCGAAAAAGACACGCATATAATAGCTTTGTAACTTCCTTGGACCTGGCATGTCCGCCCAAGACTGATCATCTTCGAAAATGCGGACGATATCAATACGTGGTTCCTTGGGATTTAGCAAACATTTGGCATATTTATCTTTCAACTCGGAGGACAACTGGCCAATATCTGGTTTTCTTGGTCGCGGTAATATATCCTCATCACGCTGGGCACGCCACAAACGTTTGGCGCGATAATATTCTTCCAATTTCTCGCGATATATTTCATTGAGATCGGTATCGAAACGCTGTGACCATAACTGCTGGCGATTTTTAATCTCCGTCGTTTTGAGGTCTTCGATTTTAAGGCGTAGCTTAAGGCGTGTCAGCTGGTGACTTTGTTGTTTGCGGAGATTTTTCAACCTGAGCCAATTGTGAAGGATATCCTGTAACAGTTGTTTATTGGTGTGCTCTTCGTCGTAAAGTTTCTCTCTTAAAGCTTTTACTTTAAATGAATGCTGCTCAATTTTATAAGCCTTTCTCTCTTGATCTGTGGCGCGTCTCCTGTGATGAGATTTAGTGGAATTCTCTTCACTTTTCAACAGCTCATTTAGAATATTTCTCTGAACCTGCAAATCGGCATAAAGCTTTTCGGTAATTTTCTCCTTCAGACGTTGACAGCGATGCTCATAGAGTAATTCCAAATCATTGGCCAATTTGTGTTCCTCCTGAAGATCAGGGTGTTCGGTGAATCGAATATCCTTGAGATGTAAGGTCAGTAGCTTCTTTGAGGGTATGTCCATGCTATCCCATGAGGGTTCCACGAATATCGGTTTAAATTTAAAATCACATGAAGTTCGATAGTATAGTGGGTCCATGAAAAATCTATTGGCATCTACAGAGCTTTTTAGAGCTTCCAAAATTTCTGCCTTCACTTTTCCCTTGCGCACTTTGGCCTCCATGGACAGACGATTTATAAACAAATTCAAATTGGAATTTAATTTCTCGCCAATTGGATATGAAATCAATGACTGTTCCAACTCAAGCGAGGGTTTGAAACTGAACTGCTCATTTTCAATGCGAAACTCAGTCTTCTCCAGGCGTATCAAGGTTTCCAAATTATCCTCGGCGATTTGTATGAAGGTCGAGGCCAATGTTGGCTGCTGACTTCGTGTTGTATTGGACAAGTCATCAGTGGAATTTTTGGAAAGAATCTCCTCTGGGTCATCCATTTGTTCACTGCTCCCATCCTCCTCCTCCTCCTCCTCTTTGGTCACATTCTTTGCTGCCGCTTCTTTTTTCAACTCCTCTTTATTGATGCCACAAAAAAATTTCTCACTTGGCGACTTGGTATCATCGCGACCCACCTCATTATTGATTGACTCACTGAGAATACTTGCATTTTCCAACAGCGTAGCCACTTCTCTTTCATTCTCCTCAAATTCTTGGGTCAATTGGATTTTTCGTTTCGTATGCGGCTGTAATTTCTTCACTTTTGAACGACTTTTCTTGGATTTTTGCGATTTGAGTTTCTTTTTTGGTTTGACAATTTCAATGGCTTCGGCCTCAATCATTTTAATGAACTTTCTTCGATGTGTTTATGTTTTTCTTTTCAGTTCGATAGAATAAATGTCAAATTCGTTTGTTGTTACCATGGCAACGGTTAAAAAAATTGACAATCGTCCCAGCACCGGTTAAGGGTTGCTTAGGTTAGTATTATTCCTAACAAAAATATTAGGGTTGTTTTTTGATATTTTATTTAGCTCAGTATTCATTTTAACGCACAACCACCTTGGGGTAGATTTTTATTTAAAATAGCTCAAACCTTATAATTTACATTTTTTCTTCGAAAATTAGGGAGTTAGGGTCATTTTAAAGTATGCTATTTTTTCCTCTTTAAAAAACTGATCACAAATTATAGCTAAAAATCCCGAAATGTCAATATTTAAGGAGTTATGGCCATTTTAAAGTATGCTATTTTTCCTCTTTAAAAATCTGATCACAAATAATAGCTAAAAAACCCGAAATGTCAATATTAAAGGAGTTATGGCCATTTTAAAGTATGCTATTTTTCCTCTTTAAAAAACTGATCACAAATAATAGCTAAAAACCCCGAAATGTCAATATTTAAGGAGTTATGGCCAATTTAAAGTATGCTATTTTTCCTCGTTAAAAATCTGATCACAAATAATAGCTAAAAACCCCGAAATGTCAATATTTAAAGAGTTATGGCCATTTTAAAGTATGATATTGTTCCTCTTTATAATAGTGATCACAAATTATAGCTAAACACCCCGAAATGTCAATATTTAAGGAGTTATGGCCAATTTAAAGTATGCTATTTTCCTCTTTAAAAAACTGATCACAAATTATAGCTAAAAACCCCGAAATGTCAATATTTAAGGAGTTATGGCCATTTTAAAGTATGCTATTTTTCCTCGTTAAAAAACTGATCACAAATTATAGCTAAAAACCCCGAAATGTCAATATTTAAGGAGTTATGGCCATTTTAAAGTATGATATTTTTCCTCTTTAAAAAACAGATCACAAATTATATCTAAAAACCCCGAAATGACAATATTTAAGGAGTTATGGCCATTTTAAAGTATGCTGTTTTTCCTCTTTAAAAAACTGATCACAAATTATAGCTAAAAACCCCGAAATGTCAATATTTAAGGAGTTATGGCCATTTTAAAGTATGCTATTTTTCCTCTTTAAAAAACTGATCACAAATTATGGCTAAAAACCCCGAAATGTCAATATTTAAGGATTTATGGCCATTTTAAAGTATGCTATTTTTCCTCTTTAAAAAACTGATCACAAATTATGGCTAAAAACCCCGAAATGTCAATATTTAAGGAGTTATGGCCATTTTAAAGTATGCTATTTTTCCTCTTTAAAAAACAGATCACAAATTATATCTAAAAACCCCGAAATTACAATATTTAAGGAGTTATGGCCATTTTAAAGTATGCTATATTTCCCCTTTAAAAAACTAATCACAAATTATAGCTAAAAACCCCGAAATGTCAATATTTAAGGAGTTATGGCCATTTTAAAGTATGCTGTTTTTCCTCTTTAAAAAACTGATCACAAATTATAGCTAAAAACCCCGAAATGTCAATATTTAAGGAGTTATGGCCATTTTAAAGTATGCTATTTTTCCTCTTTAAAAAACAGATCACAAATTATATCTAAAAACCCCGAAATGACAATATTTAAGGAGTTATGGCCATTTTAAAGTATGCTATATTTCCCCTTTAAAAAACTGATCACAAATTATAGCTAAAAACCCCGAAATGTCAATATTTAAGGAGTTATGGCCATTTTAAAGTATGCTATTTTTCCTCTTTATGATAGTGATCACAAATTATAGCTAAAAACCCCGAAATGTCAATATTTAAGGAGTTATGGCCATTTTAAAGTATGCTGTTTTTCCTCTTTAAAAAACTGATCACAAATTATAGCTAAAAACCCCGAAATGTCAATATTTAAGGAGTTATGGCCATTTTAAAGTATGATATTTTTCCTCTTTATGATAGTGATCACAAATTATAGCTAAAAACCCCAATATGTTAATATTTAAGGAGTTATGCCCATTTTAAAGTATGCTATTTTTCCTCTTTAAAAAACTGATCACAAATTATAGCTAAAAACCCCGAAATGTCAATATTTAAGGAGTTATGGCCATTTTAAAGTATGATATTTTTCCTCTTTAAAAAACAGATCACAAATTATATCTAAAAACCCCGAAATGACAATATTTAAGGAGTTATGGCCATTTTAAAGTATGCTATATTTCCCCTTTAAAAACTGATCACAAATTATAGCTAAAAACCCCGAAATGTCAATATTTAAGGAGTTATGGCCATTTTAAAGTATGCTATTTTTCCTCTTTAAAAAACTGATCACAAATTATAGCTAAAAAACCCGAAATGTCAATATTTAAGGAGTTATGACCATTTTAAAGTATGCTATTTTTCCTCTTTATAATAGTGATCACAAATTATAGCTAAACACCCCGAAATGTCAATATTAAAGGAGTTATGGCCAATTTAAAGTATGTTATTTTCCTCTTTAAAAAACTGATCACAAATTATAGCTAAAAACCCCGAAATGTCAATATTTAAGGAGTTATGGCCATTTTAAAGTATTCTATTTTTCCTCTTTAAAAAACTGATCACAAATTATAGCTAAAAACCCCGAAATGTCAATATTTAAGGAGTTATGGCCATTTTAAAGTATGCTATTTTTCCTCTTTAAAAAACTGATCACAAATTATAGCTAAAAACCCCGAAATGTCAATATTTAAGGAGTTATGGCCATTTTAAAGTATGCTATTTTTCCTCTTTAAAAAACTGATCACAAATTATAGCTAAAAACCCCGAAATGTCAATATTTAAGGAGTTATGGCCATTTTAAAGTATGCTATTTTTCCTCTTTAAAAAACTGATCACAAATTATAGCTAGAAACCCCGAAATGTCAATATTTAAGGAGTTATGGCCATTTTAAAGTATGCTATTTTTCCTCTTTAAAAAACTGATCACAAATTATAGCTAAAAACCCCGAAATGTCAATATTTAAGGAGTTATGGCCATTTTAAAGTATGCTATTTTTCCTCTTTAAAAAACTGATCACAAATTATAGCTAAAAACCCCGAAATGTCAATATTTAAGGAGTTATGGCCATTTTAAAGTATGCTATTTTTCCTCTTTATAATAGTGATCACAAATAATAGCTAAAAACCCCGAAATGGCACTATTTAAGGAGTTATGGCCATTTTAAAGTATGCTATTTTTCCTCTTTAAAAAACTGATCACAAATTATAGCTAAAAACCAAGAAATGTCAATATTTAAGGAGTTATGGCCATTTTAAAGTATGCTGTTTTTCCTCTTTAAAAAACTGATCACAAATTATAGCTAAAAACCCCGAAATGTCAATATTTAAGGAGTTATGGCCATTTTAAAGTATGCTATTATTCCACTTTATAATAGTGATCACAAATTATAGCTAAAAACCCCGAAATGTCAATATTTAAGGAGTTATGGCCATTTTAAAGTATGCTATTATTCCACTTTATAATAGTGATCACAAATTATAGCCAAAAACCCCGAAATGTCAATATTTAAGGAGTTATGGCCATTTTAAAGTATGCTATTTTTTCTCTTTATAATAGTGGACACAAATTATAGCTAAAAACCCCGAAATGTCAATACTTAAGGAGTTATGGCCATTTTAAAGAATGCTATTTTTTCTCTTTATAATAGTGATCACAAATTATAGCTAAAAACACCGAAATGTCAATATTTAAGGAGTTATGGCCATTTTAAAGTATGCTATTATTCCACTTTATAATAGTGATCACAAATTATAGCTAAAAACCCCGAAATGTCAATATTTAAGGAGTTATGGCCATTTTAAAGTATGCTATTATTCCACTTTATAATAGTGATCACAAGTTATAGCTAAAAACCCCGAAATGTCAATATTTAAGGAGTTATGGCCATTTTAAAGTATGCTATTATTCCACTTTATAATAGTGATCACAAATTATAGCTAAAAACCCCGAAATGTCAATATTTAAGGAGTTATGGCCATTTTAAAGTATGCTATTATTCCACTTTATAATAGTGATCACAAATTATAGCCAAAAACCCCGAAATGTCAATATTTAAGGAGTTATGGCCATTTTAAAGTATGCTATTTTTTCTCTTTATAATAGTGATCACAAATTATAGCTAAAAACCCCGAAATGTCAATATTTAAGGAGTTATGGCCATTTTAAAGTATGCTATTATTCCACTTTATAATAGTGATCACAAATTATAGCTAAAAACCCCGAAATGTCAATATTTAAGGAGTTATGGCCATTTTAAAGTATGCTATTATTCCACTTTATAATAGTGATCACAAATTATAGCTAAAAACCCCGAAATGTCAATATTTAAGGAGTTATGGCCATTTTAAAGTATGATATTTTTCCTCTTTAAAAAACTGATCAGAAATTATAGCTAAGAACCCCGAAATGTCAATATTTAAGGAGTTATGGCCTTTTTAAAGTATGCTATTATTCCACTTTATAATAGTGATCACAAATTATAGCTAAAAACCCCGAAATGTCAATATTTAAGGAGTTATGGCCATTTTAAAGTATGCTATTTTTTCTCTTTATAATAGTGATCACAAATTATAGCTAAAAACCCCGAAATGTCAATATTTAAGGAGTTATGGCCATTTTAAAGTATGCTATTTTTTCTCTTTATAATAGTGATCACAAATTATAGCTAAAAACCCCGAAATGTCAATATTTAAGGAGTTATGGCCATTTTAAAGTATGATATTTTTCCTCTTTAAAAAACTGATCAGAAATTATAGCTAAGAACCCCGAAATGTCAATATTTAAGGAGTTATGGCCTTTTTAAAGTATGCTATTATTCCACTTTATAATAGTGATCACAAATTATAGCTAAAAACCCCGAAATGTCAATATTTAAGGAGTTATGGCCATTTTGAAGTATGCTATTTTTCCTCTTTAAAAAACTGATCACAAATTATAGCTAAAAACCCCGAAATGTCAATATTTAAGGAGTTATGGCCATTTTAAAGTATGCTATTATT